TGAGGCTCCCCATGCAGGACAGACAGCCCATCTCCATCCCCTAGCTTTCCACTCCCAACCCCATTTGTTGTCAAAATCCATGACCTTAGAATCTTGGATTAGAATGATATCGAGCTTCTCCTTCCTAAACATTTTTTTTATTATATTTCTTTTCCATGCTCCCCCTAAACCTCTAACATTCCAGCTTACAATCTTCATTACAACCTCAAGATTCAACCTAACTTCCAAGCCTCACCTACTTGTTACCTCTCACCCTTCCCATTCTTCCACTAAACTCCTTATCCCCTTCTACATCTTTTTTCAATCTCTCCACTTCACTCAATTTACTTTTTCTAACCTTATCTCCCTCCTTATTTTTCCGTAAGTAAAGCCTTGTAACATTAGGCTCATGTACTTTGCACCCCAACTTTTCCACAAAGTCTATCACTAGATCATCCAGACCATTCCCATCAACTGTTGCCCCCCTCCCCCAATTTCATACTTACTTATCTCCTAAATGTGTCCTTTGTTCCTTATCCTCATTTGTACCTTCTTCTATCTCACAGTAATCTCCTTCCTACACTTCCTTTCTCTTCAACTCCTCAAAACCATCCTCAATCATCTCCCAAATTTTTCTACCCCTTGCCACTTCCTCCTCTACCTTATTATTGAAAACTTCTTCCCTAACCCTACTATCTTCTTGCGGCAAATGGCAACACTTGGGATTTGAAACATTAGACACAGGCACAAAACACGGGTTAGTGTTTAAAACTGAATTGACACCAATACCTGGGACATGGTGAAAGGGAGGCATAGGCAAGTTTAATTTTTTCCTCATCACAAGGATGGAGTTCAGCAACTTCCTTGGTAGGGGTTTGATCTGGAAAATTATCTTTCAAGGAAATACTTCACTATTTACTACACAAACTCTGTTGCTTATCCTTTCCGAGACTTCCCCTGCCAAGTTTCTAATGATCCTCATCTAATCCCTTACGGATATCCTTCTTTAGAAGTAAATTTGGTTCAATTTCCCTCTTTGTTGGGTTTCAATGTACCACCTCTACATCCCTATTGTACTCCACCATAATATTACTCTCACTGTCTGCCACTGAATCTAAAGAAAAGGTTTCATTTGAGCTTTTTTCTTCACCTATAAATAGGATGCCCGTCACTATGTCACTATGTCCGTAATGAATCCTCCATCTCTTCCAACACGCCTTTTTCACCAACTTCAGATTCTTCCAAGAAACTTCCTCTGACTCCAAATCATTGAGTTCATCCTCCATCTACTCACAGTCCTCTGGCCTCCCATCCATTATCTATCATATCCTCATCTTCGGATTTCCTTCTTGTATATCTTGGATTAGGGTGCTCATTCATTGCTTGCACCACACTCCCTTGCAATGCCTCTACTCTAGGATTCCATTGCAGATCCGATCTCCGCACATAATTCATCTAAATCCTACCAGTATCGACGGCCTAGAACGATGATAGACTGAAGGGCTGGTCTACCATCGAAAAGTTTTTACTAGTTTTAATTTAGGGGCCAGTTGCTAGACGCCCCTTGAACATCACCTGGTTCACCCTTGTTACCCAACCCACTTTATTTCCTTAGTTGATCACATAGCCTAATCGGGTCTAGCAATGGTACCCACTTGTAAGACTTTTGCAAACAATTGTTTCTCAAATATGAGTTGGGAATAGTTCGGGCTCAAGTTTCATTAGGCTCGGTTCGAGTTCGGATCTCAAGGCAAGCTCCATTAGTTATTTGGACAGGCTCAACTAATAAAAATTTTGGCTTGAAAGCCTACAAGCCTAGCTTAATTAACATATACATGGTAGTATGATACATACATATATTATAAAATATAAAAATTTATCTTATAATATATTTGTATGTAACATATATTTTATATTCTATATAATATAATATATTTATAAAATATAGCAATATATTCACTTTCAATCTTTTGAGCCGAACTCGAGCTTATCGAATATTTAATTGAACCAAGCTTGAATCAAGAAATAGAGCCCAAATCGAACTCAAGCTCGAATTCAAGCTTAACAGTATTTTAGTCAAACCGAGCCAAGACATACAAAAGTTCGGCTCAGCTTGGCTCAATTGCAGCCCTACCCCCAACTGCTCTTTTTCATTGCCCTCTCTCCTTCCGCAGCACACGTCTGCCATGTCATTATCTTCTTCAACCTCATGCCTCTCTCTCCAAAGTGACACTTCACACTCTGAAACTAACCAGGCCTTACTCCAAAGCCCACCACAAAGGACTTCAATCGGATGAGGAACACCTGGTTTCACTCCAGCCACTTTGACCACCACTGCTCAGAGATCTGTTGTATCAGTCAACAGTAGAACTCCACCCAACGCTTGTACAGTTTTGTTAAGATCTTCCAACCGCCACAGATTAAATGGGAGTCCAAGAAGTTTGATTTTAAAAGCTCCATCTTCCAGCTCTCTGCTATTACATGATGGAGACCATTTTTCAATCAAGACCAATCCAATTTCAGTTTCCAGATTTTTGAAGTTCGCCACTCTATCACCAGCATCAAGAATGGCTCTCATCTTATCAAAGGGAAGAATATGCACATCTGTTGAAGCTTCAAATTTAACCAGTCACAGCCTGAATCGTTCCCCAATCAATTCACCTCTCTACCAGCTTTTAACGTTAATTTTTTCTCCCATTCTCATCTTTCAGCTTCCAAAATCATTTTTTGTGCCTTGTTCAGGCTGATCACCTCAATGCTTTGGTGAAGAACCACTCTTGAGCTTTCATCTGGACCTTTTCTTCTATTCCACTCAAGTCTTCTACCACTTTGTCACATGTTGTATTTACTTCTTTGCTTCCAATCTTTTTCCAGAATTGGCCTCTTTCTTCATCAGGAACCCATGCAGCTTCTCTGAAACTGACTTCCACCACCTACCTTGCTTCAGGGAAACAGACAGATTTTTTTTGCTATTGTGAAAGAACTCTGAGATAACCATGAACCATCCCTTCTGATTATGCTCCAACTCTGCTTGGTACTTCCTTCTTGGCATCTCCAACCATGGTTCAAAGTATTGATACACCTCTGTGTATCGGCAGAGGTGTATCATTACTTTGACCGATAAGCATTGTTTTTTTTTTTATTTTGTCTTGAATATAATTATAATATATATATATATATATATTATTTTATATTAGAAGGGTTTTGTAAAAATATCTGTAAACAGGTTTATTGGGGCTCAAAGATACGATACAATACACCCCGTATCGGGTGTACCATGTCGATATTTTGAACCTTGTCTCCAACCCACATTTTCATCCCACATTCTTGATAGGATAGAGTGCTCCATCAATGAATCCTTTTAAGTCACTGGCTAGCTTCCCATCAAGAAAACAGTTGCCTTTCCTTCTTCTCTAATCTTCAACAACAGCTGCCCTCGACTTTCTCCTTCCTCCACAGCTAACTTCTTTGCTTCTATCACCAAGTCCTCTTGCCACCCAGTCACTGGAATGAAGACTCCTCTCCCTTCTCTCGATGGCACCACTTCATCCCTTCTAAAAGAAAGCTCTGTTTTGCCATATAGAAGAGGATATTAGCTTAAAAGAGGGTGATATAGCGAAAGGAACCCTTTCTGCTGCCACAGTGTCATGTTTAAGATCTTGGGTCATGTGAATCTTTTTGCTATACCAACTCAATCAGGAGAACCATGCCAAACTCCTCAAAGAGTTGGCAAATGTTCGAAAATAAGAATCTAAGGCACATCACAATACCTATTAAATGGGCAACCAGGTAGTGCACTCCACTCTTTTTTTTTGAACAGCAAAGATTAATTATATTAATAGATGAGAAAAAGTTACAACAGTTTGGATGACCATTCACCTAAGAAGACAGCATACAACCATAGCCCAAAACAAATTACAATTTATCCCAGAAAAGTTGCTACCTAAATACGCCTTGCTTGGCTAAAGTGTCAGCCATCCCATTAGCTGTCCTGTGTGCCCAGGAAAAGGAAGCATTCAATTCCTCCTGCAGATTTTCTATCTCCCTTCAGGCATGTCCTGCACTTCACTCATTGCAGTATAAAGAAGCAAGAATCTAGAGTACATATTCATGGTGGCACAAAGAGGGGTCAATGTGTGCAACTTAAAGGAGATGACAGGGTGACAGGCTAAACAGTTCTCATTGCTACGGCTGATTGGAGGTCTTATTACCAAGATACAGTAGTGTCATAGGACCAACACCTATGAGAATCCAATGCAATGAATGACCTAAGTCAGCAGAACTCAATTGTTATGGGAATAAGAAGAAAAAAAAGCAGTCATAGGGTCTGCCATCTAATTGGTAGGCACAAAAGAGAGCTGCATTGTTTTACAGGGCCTCCTATAAACTGATAGAATAAAGAAATACAGCTTAATGAAAGAGGTGTCCTGGTTGGCAAGGAAATATTGAATTTTATTTTCAAGCATTTAGCATACATGGTATACTCAATAACCCAAAGCAGTAAGCGAGATATATTTAATTAAATGTGCAGGTCATCAAGGATTCAAATTAAAAGCAATTATGAGACTTTATGAACCTATAGCTATGAAGGTTCTACGAAGGTTGAACTTACAACAGTGCCACAAGGGTTGAGAACAGATAAACTCTCAATTATAAAGGTATATCAGTGGAATAGGACTAAAGGGTAGTCGAGGAATGGCCTACAAACAACAGCTCTGGTTCAACAATGGACATAGGATGAGAGAAACCATGTTTTTGGCTAAGGGAGTTGAGAAGAACTTTTATATGAACACAAATATCAGCCAGTAAGCTAGTAAATGTGCTGACTAAGCAAGAGGTGAGCAGAAGCAATTTGTAATGGGGAATTATTCCCAAAAGGGGCAGAATTTAATACACAAGTTATGATGAAGGGGTGCTTGGTATATCTATTTGTTGCTGGTTCCTTTTCATAAATTTATAAAGTTTCAAGTTAACAGTAAAAAAACAATTATGAAAGAGAAGAGTGCAGGTTGTGGGTATACCAAACCATCTTTATTCTCAATGAATAGGCGTATGGCATCATCAGCTGCTCCACTAGCAATCACACCCTCACTGTCATTTGCACAAACAAATCATAATAAATTCTCAATGGAGGGGGAACAGAAAAAAGAAAATAAAAGCAAAAAACCAGATTATTTGCAAGTGATATAATGAAGATTCTCAATAAGATTAGTACGGTATAAGAGCCAATAATAACTTTCTGAGTAAAATGTTATTTAGTCACAAAAAAAAAAAAAACAACTCCAAGGTCAACTGAGTTGAACATAGCCAAGTCATTCCAGTGATCAAAAAAAATAGAATCAATCCATTCCCAGAATGAGTTGCCTAGAACTGAGTCCATTTAAGAAATTGATTTGTAAGTCTTTTGATATTGACTAAACTCGGTTCATCCCTTTTCTTTTATCAATGGTTCATCCCTAATTAATAACTGCATCATTTCTTAGGGGTGCCAATGGGTATTAGATTAACTTTTACCAGATGAACCAGGCCCTAGCTAGTAGATTTAGGTCCAAAATATTGGAGCTGATCAATAATTCAAGTCAATAGTCCATAAATTAGCATCTGATTAGGAATGAGTCAAATCCAGGTCCAAGAAACACATAGCTGACATAATATTTTAAACTCCAAGGACAATTGACTTTAACAAAGTTAATTGAATTCTCAGAATTCGTAGCTGAGAATTCAGGCCCATCAAGAACTTAATGGTCATCCCCAATTAATAACTGCTTCATTTGTTAGGGGTGTCGATGAATATTAGGTTAATGTTTACCAGGTGAACCAAGCACCAGCTGGTAAGTTTAGGACCTGATCAATAAATCAAGTCCATAGTCCATATTACCATCTGATTAGGAATGAGGTCAAATCAATGTCCAATGAAGAATGAACAAGTAGCTGTCAAATACATGACTATGCACAATTTCAAAATTTATAAGGTATATACATCATTCATTTGCTTTTTGATTGGTTATATATAATTTATTTGTTTTTCTCCTGTTATTTCTATTTGTAGTCAAAATGAAATGTAGATCTTAGTGTTTTAATTTTTCCATTTTGAATTAATTGTATCACTCAATGATTTAAGGGTCTATAATTAATAAATGGATATGGAACTGAACAAAACAGGATTCATGTAGCCAACCCCATATAGTTGGAGCAACGCTTAGGTGATGATAAAGATGATAGTTTGACTCATAATTCAGCCAACTGATGCAGGCAAAGAAACAGGGAAAGAATCCTCAGAAGAAGAAACCATGATTCTTCATATTCTTGAACCAATGGCAGTTCTGTAAATTTTGGTATTATTAGTTTGCCAGTGTCTTAGGAACTGGGCTAAGTTTCACTTTTCTAATAGTTTACCATTCCTAATAAAAAAACTAACTTACTATTTACAGTAACTTTGTGACCTACTAATTATAATCATTCTCATAGTTACTATTAAGTAAATTGTAATTTACTATTTTAATCATTTCTGCTGTCTTCACTATTGAATTAGTTGTAGTAAGATTAGAAAGTGTTATTATAAGAGTTAAGAATCCTTTTGATATTATAATTAATACAATACTTTATTTTTTCAAAAAAAAAAAAAAAAGAAAAGAGTCCTTATTTGAGTGTCCACATGGATTGCCTCAAGGTTTAAAATGCCAGAGCCAATGGAAACTTCTATCATCTGAATATTGGAAACATGTTGGAAATGTCAGGAACTTCATAATAGAAATATTGTAAAAAATATAGGACAGAGATCTCAGTTCTATGTTTAATCTATAAATAGTCATTGTAATCAAAATTTAAATGGAATTAACGGAATAGAAAGCTTGTTTTGAAGTTGCAAGTGGATAATTGTGTGTTATCTTCTTCTCTCTTTCTCTTTTTAATTTTTTTTTGATAAATGATGACAATTTTATTAAATCATGACCAGATTTGAGATCGAAAGCTCATACAACCCTCGGAGAGGTGCGAGCTACAGCCTCTCCCCCAACAGATTACAAGGAAACTAAAAACAATGAAAATCACAATTGAGTCCAGAATAGGCCTTCCCTGTTTCTCCCTTGCTTGGCTAACACATCCGCCAAAGAATTTGCTGATCTCCCTACCCACTGTATAGAAGTAGACATTCCTTATCAGCCATTTGAACTTCTTAACTTCATTTTTGTAACACCAAGCAGCATTTTGGGGGTTCTTCGACCAGCCCACCACTACCTTAGAATCCCCTTCAATAATCAGTTGCTCTACCCCCATCTGGTTTGCAAAATGCACCCCTTGTACAGCGGCTATTAATTCAGCCCTAACAGAATCTCCATATCCCAGAGGACCCCAGTATAGGAGGACAACCTCTCCATGCTGATTGCACAACTCCCCCCCCCCCCAAATTCCAGAGGGTCCTGGATTGCCCAGACTGCTCCCATCAAAATTCAGCTTCAAAGATCCTGCAGACAGGGGAAGCCAACTTATAGTTGTCCTAATCTTAGTGGAGGAGCAACTTGCTACTGTTACCCAATTTCTCCAAATATCAGTAAAGGAGAATTGCTGAAAAAGCTCCATGGTTTTTAACCAGTGTATATTCAAAACACAATCCTTCAAATCCAATCTGCTCCTCTCCTCTTGGAAAATTCTAGCATTTCTTTCCACCCATAATGTCCATAGCAAGGCTGCTCAAGCACATCTCCACATAATTCTCCCTCTTTTTTTAGGCCAAGTGAAGGTAGATTGGTCAAAAACCATGCGTACATCAGCTGATAGATTCCAATTACACCCAAACAACTACAGAAGTGGAACCCATAACCCCACCCCATAGCTTACCTTCCTGTCTACTATATGTCAGATTTTAGAGTGCCCCAAGCTGTTGTGAGAAAATTGGAAAAGATTATGAGAGATTTTTTGTGGGAATCCAGGGAAGGGAAGAAAGATCATTTGCTGAGTTGGAAGAAGGTGATGAATCTAAAGGCAGAAGGGGAATTGGGATTGGAAATATCAAAATGAAAAATATGGCTTTGTTGGGCAAAAGGCTATGGAATTTCCCATTAGAAAGTGAAAGGCTTTGGCACAAAGTGGTAGCAAGTATTCATGGGCTGTCAAGTAATGGATGAGATGCTGGATGTCTTCATAGAGCTACTTTGGCTACCCCCTGGAAAGCTATCCATGATTGTGTTCCTACCTTCCTCAATTGCATCAGGTAAGACTTGGTTTCGGGTCTATTAGGTTCTGGGAAGACATTTGGATTGGAGAGTTCCCTTTGATGGAGTTCTTCCCCTCTCTTTATGCTCTTTCCAATCTCAAGGGTAAACTTGTGTCTGAGTTCATTTTCCCCCCTCCTCATTCTAATTTAAATTGGAATTTGGGCTTCACTAGGAATCTCAAAGAGTCTGTAATTCCCTTAGTGTCTACTTTGCTTTCCTTGCTACATCATGTGGTTCTTGGGATGGGGGTGTGGATAGTAGGGTGTGGACCCTCAATTCAGTTGGGTCCATCACTTGTAAGACATTTTTTAACTCCCTTGTATCTTCCTAACCGTCCCCTTCTCATGCCTTCCCTGTTAAGGAAATTTGGTGCTATTCCATCCCTCCTAGAATCGGTGCTTTTTGCAGGGAAGTGTATCATGGCTGCATTAATACCTGTGATAAACTTCAAAGGAAGAGGCCAAACTGGTGTTTGTCCCCCAACTGGTGCTGTTTATGCAAGCTTAACGGTGAGACTGCAGTTCATCTCCTTCTTTCCTGCCAGACCTGCCCATTTGTTGGTTTTATCTAGGACTGGCTCGCTTCGCTATTTGGTTGCAGTTGGCTTCCTCCTATTAACTTGGGAGAGTTGTTTATCCCTTCTACTTGTGGATGTCCTACTAGGAAGGGCAGATTGATGTGGAAATGCACAAGGGCAGACGTGGTTTGGACAGTTTTAGAGGAAAAAAAACTCTAGAATTTTTGGGGAGAAGGAAAGAACCAAGGAGGCATTGATTGAGGTCATAACCCTAAGAATTGCACAATGGGCCAAAACCTCAGTTCTTTTCTCAGATTTTAAAGTTGATGATTTCTTCAGATCTTTGGGGGGGCGGGGGTATAGCTACCTCTTCTTCTGGAAGACAGATTGCAGCAGTGGATTGGTCACCTCCACCTTGTGGCTGGTTGAAACTAAATTTTTTGTGTGAGCAACCCAGGCCCCTCTGGAATTAGAGGGATGATTAGGAATGAAGAAAGTAATATTTGTGCCTTATTTTCAGGTCCAGTTGAGACAAATGATGTGGCTACAGCAGAATATTTAGCTACTGTCTTTGGTCTTGAGAAAGCCAAGGAATCGGACTTTGAAAGGCTAATCATTGGAGGAGATTCCAAAGCAGTAGTGGATTGGTTAAAGAAAGGGGAAGGAGTCTCTTGGCATCTAAGGAACGACCTTAGGAGGTACAAATGGCTTTCCAAGGACATGTCTATTCAAGTCCAATGGGTCAAAAGATTTGCCAACTGTTTGGCAAATGATCTTGCTAAGTGAATGATCGGGGAATGCACTCTCTCTGATGAAAACCTAAATTGCCGACAGTTGATTTCAAACTTGTAATTTGTTTTGGAAAATATATTTATATAGAGATATACATATATATTATGGTTTCACAAAATGTTTGCTAAAGGTTTTAATTCCCGGGATCCATGTGAGTAGAGAGTGCAAAACTGTACCTTGCAGCTGAGGAGAAAGGTCCTCTCTTGTCGAGCAGTGTTTGATCAATAAGGGCTGAGAGGTTGAGTGTAAGACCATTTAGGGATAATAAACCTAATGGGCTAATTTCACATCTGCCCACAGTCCTTGGGCCTTCATAAAATGGCTGGACCCGAGGACCATTTAGTGTAAATGTTGGGCCCATTAAGAGCCCATACTGATGGACTCAGGGATTCACTGAATTCAGCAGTGAATTCGGCCAAGCCTTGTAACAGAGGCTAGGCTAAACCCATGTGGCTTATGTGGAGATCAACGATAGGGTCCCACGTCATACAAAGAGAGCCAAGCTAGCCGGAATTAAAAGGATGTTTGCTTGAAAGCTTAATGGGCCTAAAGCCCATTTCGAACTGGGTTAATTGGATTAATTAAATAGGGGGCGAATCTGGGTATGGATTAGTAGATAAGGATAAGAGGATAACTCTTATCCACTTAAAGAGTCTAGATCCAAATAAAGATTTGGATTAGGAAACTTCTAATTGGATTAGGAGAAGTTGATCATGATTTGCAAATAAGATAAGGGATAAGCCTTATCACTTAAAGAGTCCAGATCCAAATAAAGATTTGGATCAAGAAACTCCTAATCAGATTAGGAAATTAATTCTTTAAGGTCTATATAAAGGAGGAGGGCGAACTAGAAAAACATACACAGTTCTACTGCTTTCTGCTTCCAGTTCTCTCTCTCTACTCTTGTCGCCCTACCCTATTCGATCTCCACCTCTTGGAGTGGTCAAGATTGGATCTTGATATTGTTTCTTGGTGGAAGAAACAATCTTGAAGCTGTGCTCACTACCCTGTTCAATTCTTGTTGAAGAATCTGAGGTTCTTGCTGAAGAACCACTTGCTGATCCTACCTCACCCTAAGTTGTGTCATCTTCAGTGGAGGAAGGATTTGGTACTCTCTTTGGGCGTGAATACCTACGTTGGTAGGAGCTTTTTGTGTGGATTTCATATCAGGTATTCCTCTCCCTAATCTTGGTTTAAGATTTGGTCCGGTTTGTTTCAAGAATGAACCTTGAAAAATGCAATTTTTCTAAATCAAGGAATAGGATTCCGGAATGGGAGAAAGAAATTTTCAAAATTTCGCCCAGCCACCCTACATGGTTTGGCCATCCATATGATGGATCACCCATCAAGGTGTCTATTTGTATCTTTCACAACTTCTTGTTGTACTTCATTATTTTTTGTAATGAATTTATTTTCTGAGTTGTTGATCAAAAAAAAAAAAAAGATAACAATTCTCCCCATGAGCTCTACAGAGAACACATCAGTTGGGAGAAATACACAGGAAAGGTCTTCTCTTTTGTAGGTTATCTTAAAGTGTTCAATTTCCCAAAGTACACTTCCCAGCAAAAAGCCATAATCTTTGGGGGAACCGGCCTACACCAAACTTCCTTAGAGGGGAACAACTGTTGAACAAAAGATTGGCAAAGAGACTTAAAATAAGAGGCACGAGTGAAGGTCCCTTTAGGCCTCAGAGCCCACACCCTCTTATCTGACTCAATTGGTTCCAAGCAAACCTGATTGAGGGAGAGTAAATAAGACAGATTCAATTTCGTCGTCCCTTAACGCTCTACGAAAGCCAAAATCCCAATTTAGAGCCAAGGGGGTTCCCAAAGTTGAAACAAATTTTGAGACCCACTATTTGTTTCAACTTTGGAAACCCCCTTGAGAGAGTATAACAAAGGGAAAAGGTCTTTTTAAGGGGGTATTTCCCACCCAAACATCCTCCCAAAACCAAACAGAGTTAACAAAATAAACCTCATACCTGACATACCTGAGAAACAAAGGAGGAAAGTGTTGTGAATGGCCTTCCAAGGGGCTGCCAAATTAGCCCATCTTGATACACCAGCATCCCACCCATTCTCTGAGCTGCCATGGATACTTCCCACCCCCTCATGCCATAACCTCTCTCTCTTCAATGGCCAACGCCAAAGCCATTTTCCTAGCAATGCTAAATTTTTTTGAAACACCCTTCCTAAACCCAATCCGCCCTCCTCTTTGCTTCTGCACACAATTTCCCACTTAACCAAGTGATGCTTTTAATCCCGTCCTGATTCACAAAGGAAATCCCTCATTAATTTCTCCAGCTTCTTTGCTTCCCTAGGTGGTATCTTAAATATAGACAAGAAATAAGTGGGCAAGTTCGCCAATGTAGCTTTTATTAAAGTGATCCTCCCAAAGAGGTGTAGTTCTTCTTCTAAGAGGTTAGTCTCTTTTTGATAAAAAAATAAGAGCTCTCTTTTCAAACTTTTCACCACCAGAGTCCAGAAGCTACTCTCCCTAGGGTTTGCCACTAACAGAACCCTTAAGTAGGACATAGGCCATGAAAAGATGGAGCAATCAAGACATGCTGCAATTATTCAGAGCCTTGGTTCTCCATCTTCTTCCCACTACATTCCTCCCAGTAGGTCGTTCTCTCTTCCTTCCTACATCACTAACACATTTATTTACTGGATCATATCTAGAACCCCTAAGACATGCATCTGCTTGGATCTTGATCCAATGAGATCTGAACTCATTGAATTTTTTTCCATTTTGGGTTATTATATTTATTGAGATAAGAATCTATTTTCTGCTTATTTATTTGTCTAACACAGTACATCACCATAGACAAAGTAGAATGTCAGAGGTGAACTCTTTGTACAAGGCTTAGTGGAGTTCAAAACTTCAAATAAGCATATATTACACCATGGGGCCATTGCTTGCTGCCACTTTCTGAGAGCGGGGGTTCAAAACTTCAAATAAGCATATATCAGACTCACAAGCAAGAGAGCGGGGGTTCAAATCTGAGAGCAGCCACTTTCTGCTAAAGAAAGCCAAAGGTTAGTTCTGCATCCAGTCAACTCCTCCCAAGACCCTCTAGGACTGACATTGGGCAATTGCCTTCTCTATTTTATTTTATTTATTTTTTATCCACATATTGTGTTACTTGTTCAAATAAGCATAAATTTTCTGTCTATTTGTTTGTTTGTTTATTTAACAAAATATATGATCCCAGACAGAGGAAAATGACAGAGATGGACTCTTGGTAAAAGGCTTAGTTGAGTTCAGATGACAATTGAGTTAGGACATGGACAAAGCCATTTCTGTCAAGTGTCAATATTTTAGAATGAAATAACTTTTTCCTACAATTCACTTCACTTCATCTATCACCATTATTTTTTTCGCTGTATATAAATTCTTTAATTTATATATATATATATATATATATATATATATATATATTTCAAATAGTTCTCAATGCGTGACTTTAGTCTTCAAGATCTTATAATAATGATATAATCACAATTTAATAGCACAAGCAGGATAAATATAAACCTCATTTCCCTGTGAAAAAACAACTCCATGAATAGAAAGACAGTTCAATAGATGGTTTCTTGTATTAAAGGGACAAAGAAACAATAAAAGCAAGAGGGAAGTTCTGCAGAGTGAAAGCCCGTTAGGGAGTGTAATTCATCCCAAACAGCATGTAAAGTCCATCTGTACATCATCCACATCCATACAAGGGTATTTTAAATGTATGTTATTTTTAATTATAAATGAATTTGGATACCTCAAAAAACCGAATTTTGCTAGCTTATTTGCTAGAGTTGTATACAGTTGAATTGAGAATAACAAATTTCACAAGGATCCTTTTTTTTCGATAAATATGGTAGATTTTTTTCAGTTAACTTTGCTATGATGGATGGAAGATGTACAATGCAAGTAGGCAATTATTAATCTAAAGAGAAACAAGGAGATCACATTACAATGTAGAGTTGCATATAAACTAAAGATATGATCCCAATTAGTCAGACTGATTATTAACAGTTACTACCTTGACCAATGAACTGAAAATATTGTCCGATCATGATATCCTGTGAGAGTAGAAAGGTGTCTCCTGAGAAAGAGGAAAATACATGTATCAGATGTATCTAAAAGGAAAAAGAAAATAAAAGAAAAGGTCTTTAAATTGAAACAAGCTTTGCTGATCGGCTGCATAAATTAGACAGAAGTAAAAACCAAGTTATTAAATCAAAGTGCAATAAGATGATAACGCAGGTTCAACAATATAATATATTTTGTCCCTGGGAGGAGGGGAATAAGGATGGCATTCCATCTTTAAAAAAAAAAAAAAAAGATGGTATCATTCAACTATAGAGAATAATTTCAGTCCACTTACCAGAAAAAGAAGAAGCAGAAAAACTTACAATAAAAGAAATTACTTGTAATATTTTATATTGTGACCCATAAGTTTATAAATTGTAACTTCTTTTGTAATTGTAAAAATTAAAATCTATGTAAAAACAAAGCCCCAAGATTCAATAAAAGGAAAGCAGTGCTGGATACTAATTCACCAGATATCCTATACAAAATGCATAAAAGAAATAAATGCCATCTATTTGGTAAATGGCATTTCCTGATATACCCAGATATAGCACATTTCCTGATACAGTCCATCTTGCAAGACTATCTGCTATAGAGTCTGCATATCTAGGAACCTAAAGAAACATGTTGCCAAATATCTGATATCTCAAATTTGGTAGGCTAGTCTCCAAGGCCCTCCTCTCAGACCTCTCCTAACAATGAGTTTTTCTCTCATGTATCCTATCACGTGCTGTGAACCCCTCAATAATCATCCTCCCATTTCCCATAAAAACTGATAACCTGTTTTTATATCAGCAACAAAGATGAATCTTAATTAAATAAGAGAAATAAAGTACTTCATCCAAAAAGAAAAATACAACAGCAGAAAACTATCCAGTTAATTTAAAATTCAAAGAGAACAAAAAAATTACACTCACCATCTCCCCACCTGGACCTGGCATATCCTAAATCGCCCATCTCTATGTACTCCTGCCCTAGCAAGTGGTTAGGTCCATTAGAAGATCCATTTCTGGAATCAAATTGTTATTAATATCATATTTATGTCCAGTTTAGTAGTTGAGAATCCATTTAGTAGCCTTATGTCTAGTAAGTTCTAGATCATAGTAAGTTGTGACTGCATTAAATGGTCAATGTCTTGTTAATTGTGTTAGTCAAAGAGACATTTGGGCATCATAAAATGTTGGGGAATGTGGGAATATTTATAACTTAGGTGAGCTCCTTTGTATGCGTCATTATTAATGCTGCTGTAGCCCAACTGTGCTTGCTTGTGGGTGACATTTCTCTCTCAGTTTCCACACTAGAAACCATTTAGTTCTCGCATTGAAAACCTGCTGCAATTCTGCTTCACCTTCTGGACCATTGCTGGTTAGTTGGAGAACCTGAGATCATACTGATTTTAGGCTTGAAGAGTGAAGCAATTACAGGCACAGGCACTGTCCACACAAAATGCTGCATCACACTCATTTTTTGGACATGTTTTTTGAATGCTCAACACTCTGCTAATTACTTGATCACTTCATACATACATATATATATATATGTGTGTGTGTGTGTAGTGCGTGTGTGTGTGTGCGCGCGCGCACGTGTGTGTGTGTGTGCGCGCGCGCACGTGCGTGTGTGTGTGCGCACACGCAAGGTTCAAAGTATTGGAACATATCATGGTGTGTCGATCAATACGTATCATACCGGTGACCCCCCAATACGCCACTACAGTAGGTGTTTCAGGGTCTGACCTGGTTCAGGGGGTAGACAGGCCTTAAATTGACCCCCCTAAACCAAACCTAAAAAAATAAAAAATAAAAAACACAGCTTGATACAGGCTGATACGCTCCAACCAGCATATCAGCCTGTATTGATATTTAGAACCTTGTGTGTGTCTGTATGTGTCATATATATAATATATTATAAATTATATATTAGATTATAATACATTCAAAATATATAACTATATTCTGCTATAACATATTTTTTTGTTTTATATTATATTATAATAATGCATTTATATAATGTTTTTTATAACATATGTTTTTATTTTAGTTTCAATTTTTACATTAAAAATTAAGATTTGAGGCCAAGAAAGTCGTTTTTTTGCAAAAATAGTTGGACATTTGGTGCCTTGGGAACATGTAGATCTCAAAAAGTTACCCAAAATCGAGAAAAAAAAAAGACTGCTCCAATCGGACATCAGAGCACAAAGTTGTGACCTCTAAAAGTTTGCATTTATGTGCTAAAAGAATCCAAAAAACCAGCCAGTTTTCTAAAACCAGGACCAGTTCACTGGTTTTTTAGGTATGACCGAACCTACCAGGGTCTGGGTCATGGTTTAATCGATCCAACCAACCGATCAAGTCTAGTCTAAACACTGGTTCAAAGAACATCCCATTCTAATGTTCAAAGAACATTCTAAGCCCAACACTTCCGCTCATTCTAAATTTCTAATGTAGCATTTAACATCCTCACTTTGAAGACTCAAAGAGATGCAAGAGAAACTCATACTGAAATGTAAGTAACACATCTTTGATTATTTTAACAAAAAATATAAAAAAAAAAAATCATCACACATTCACTTCTCACCAAGCATGGAAATATTCAAATACTTGTAATCAAAATAATGAGCATCTTGTATCTAAAAAAATAATGAGCAACTACTTATAACAACGACAACAACAACAACAATAATCCATACTATTATTATTGGGGTTTCCTTCAGTACAGTTTCTCATTGTACAGGGAATTGGGGCTGATTGTATATCTTCTTTCTTTTTGTGGTTTAATACAAATACCTTACCTTTTTCAAAAAATGAAAAAGAAAAACAATAGCAATCTATACTATATATAAAAGTGCAGATGCAAAGTGAAAATTTTTCAGACTAAAATTACCCTCTATTTCTTTGTTTGAGAAAGAGTATAAAAGTCATTTTATTACAGCTTTAATGGCTACTGAAATGCCCATATTTGTGTATTTAGTCCATCCATAATTGCAAGGGTTGAAAATGTAACTTCAATTATTACTTTCCACCCCATTTAATCCCCTCTCATTAAATCTTATACTTAAGGTATTAACTCTCATTTTCACTTATTAAATCCTATATTTAAGTTATTTTTCACTAACAAATGCTACTAATTAGATCTATGCCAATATTATTAAATATATAAACCCATATATTTTAAAACCGACTCAAAAACAAAACCAGTTTTTATCAAGTGGTGCCTAAGCAATTCAACCATCCGAATCAAATTGATCAACCTACAGTCATAGTTAGGTAATAAAATTAAAAAAAAAAATGTACAAAACAAGAATTACTTTTATTGATAATGAAAATGAAATACAAAATTTAGAACTGACCAAAAATAAAATTATTTTACTCTTTGACAAAAATCAATAGTTCAACTTTTGGATCAAATGTGTTAACATTTAATGTCATAAATAAATAATAAAAATTAATAAAATACATAAATTTTGCAAAAAAAAAGCATTCAGGCACATGTATAATATCATATAATTATCATATTAAACAAAAAGTAAGTGTGACATATCAGAATTTTTTTACAAACTAAAATACAAAAACAGTTATAGAAAAAAAAATTGAACGCATCTATAATTCTATATTTACACTATTACAAATATGAATAAGATTGTGGAACTTTCTTTTGACAAAAATACTCATTTTTAATTTAGTCCCTATTTAATTGTGAGGTTTAAATTGTAAATTGAACTACTACTTTTCACCTCATTCAACTTTCTCTATTCATATAAAAAAGATAAAACATTACCAAAAAAAGAAAGCCAAGCAGGTAGGCCTATCAATGATACTTGAAACTTCATAACTCAATCTGATTATCACATATTTGGATGAGGTGTTTATGTAATCAGATTTAGATTTTGCAATCTGCATCCGATTAATAATAAAAAACAAAAATAAAAAATACATAAGGTTTATAGAAATTTCTGGATACATCATTACTATCATTATCATCACCTAGAATTGCCACATGCAACTTACTAGTATAGGAACAATTGTGACTCGTGAGCCCACAATTACGAACTTTGGTCAGATGAAGGAAATCAGCAGCAAGACTCTTCCTACATCCCCAAATAAAAAAAGAACATTTTTATTTGCTAAATTTTTCACATCTGCCACATCAATTGCTTAGAGTCCACGTGGCCAAGTATATTTAATTCTCTTACAGCCCAAGCACGGCGGCTTGCTCTCACAACCGTAACCACATGTGCATCCAAGAAGTGCGACCACCAAAAGAGGGTCAACATACCTTTGTATTCTGTTGGGGTATATATTTACACAATTAAAGGTTAACTGCAAAATAATTTGCATCCTCTGGATTCATGGCGCAATGGTAGCACATCTGACTCCAAATCAAAAGGTTGCGTGTTCCATTCACAATGGGTTCAAATCCCACCAATTACTTTCATTAATAAATTATGTTAAGCTCAGTTTTTTTGTTTATATAATTACACAAGAGTCAAAGAGTCAAGGAAACATCAACAGTACACCAGCCGAATTGACAGGTGACCATGAAGTCTTCAAGACCACGCATTAGCTTTCCTTTATCTATTATCACTTATCCCTTGTAACAAGGGCAAAGCTATATAATTTATAAAAGTTTTTCTCTAAGATTTGGATTTACTCAGAATAAGCCATAGCGTGTGATTTATCATCTTTAAGGCAATAACTGTAATAATAAAACATAAATAATGACCATATACTTATAATAATAATAATAATAATAATAACAACAACAACAACATTAGCAATAACAATAACAATAACAACAATAATAATGAAGAAAATGAAAGTAGAAAGAATCTTAGATAGTGCCTTCCTCTAACCAAGTTCCCCCCTTTCCACCGAACTTTCCTCTTATCTTCTTCATATGCCAATCTACATGATCTACTAGAAACCAACTCCATATCCACCTAGTGAATTAAAAGGAGCACCTAGGTGCACAAGCAAGGTAAACACCTTAAAACGTACCTCACCTAAGCCCCAGGTGTGTGCCTTGTGCTTCATCCCAAGCAATTTGTGTTTTGCTCTTTTTTAAGCCTAGCAGTTGGGGCAGATGACCCCCAACCAAGCCCCTTCAGGCAAGCCCAAACAACAACCCTATTTGCTAATTTCTTTTTTTGCTTCTCTACTTCTCTTGGAAGATTCTAGCATTTCTTTCCTCTCATAAGGTCCAAATCACTGATGCTCTAGTGCATCTCCACATTATTCTTCCTCTTCTCTTTGGCCACACAAAGGTAGATGGATCAAACAGCATTTTAATCTCCATTGGCATGTTCCACCTGCTCCCAAACCAAGAGAAAAACCAATTCCAGATATCTGCAGCAAAGGAATAGGTTTTTTAAAATTTATGTTTATATTTTAAATTAATATTATGTTTAATATTTTTGAATTTTTGGCTCTTTTTTTTTGCATTTTTTGCGCCTTACTTCAAAAAGTGCACACCTCGCCTTGCGCCTTGGGCACAAAATGCCCCTTGCACTTTTTTGCGCCTTGCACTTTTAAAACATTATATCCACCTAAAGTTATAAAGCCAACCATTATTGTTAAATCCCTGCCAAGCAAATAAAGCATTTTGATACCACCTCCCACCCAAATCAATCCAATAAAGAACATTTTCAAACCATATCAGACACTACTACATAAAGGTCTCAAAACAGTGACACCTTGAGAATTCAAGTCTAATATTAGCCACTAAAACGACAAAGCACTTTTCTTCCATTACGCCCCTTCTCTTCAATATAAAGGGATTTTGCTTTGAATCACCTACAATAATCTCTAGAATTCTAATGAACCACCTACAACTTCTCTTCAACATTAGGCAGCAACACTTAACCCTATTGCAACTCACTTCAGGTTCTTGAAGTTGGAAATGAAATCAACTTTTGTGAATAATGTCATATACCTTGGCAACAGAAAACGCCTTACTTCATGCCCTCTTTCTTCTCTAATGGAACTAAAGGAGGATAGATCATCTAGATATGTTTAAGAGCTGCAGAAACATGGGCTTTAATGGGGAGAAAGGACTCTTTCATGGGTTGCAATTGGCATACTGAAAGTGGAAATAAATTTACAATGAATGTAAGCAAGATGGTGGTGAAGATCCATGGTTGCTGTGTCAATTTACTAGGGAAGCTAGGTCATCAGCCTCCATAGTTAACACTTCATATGTCAAGATCCAAAGAACAGCTAATGAGCTGAGGACATGATGTAGATAATTGCTTGAGAGTATTGTGAGCTTCTGTCAGGGGATGGGGTAGTAGCGTTATCCTAGCACCTCAGTTTTCCTAATGGGAGTTCCATCTTTGTGTCACTTCTTTCATCATTTAATAAATTTGCCTTGATCTGCTACCTTAATCAAACCAAATCAAATAAATATACAGAAAAGAAACTTCCTTAGTGTCCATTTTTACAGACAAAAACCCTATTCACTATTGTTACCTTTAGTTCCATGTTTGATAGGAAAGTACACCTTTCTCACATCCAACATCATCTTTTCACAAAAGAAATTCTATAATCATTGGCTTCATATGAAAAGAAACTCCAGACAAAAAGTGCAAAATGTAAAGTTGAAAAACATAAGATATCAGAAAGGAAAATATTCCTCACCAAGGCATATAACCATCTGTTTCCTGTGGTATTCTGCTGTCAGTTTCCCATATCTTTAGGGTAAGATCATCACTACAAAATCAATCCATGATTCTTTCAACATTACTTGTCACCAAGCTTTTGCTAAGGTATGACAAATATACTAGCAAAAATGAAACTAAGCCTTCTGTGATTTCAAATTAGGGGAAAAACTAATTCACAAGATAAACAATTGTGAAATTACACCAGGAAAAGAACAGTTGTTCATACCTACAGGTAACCATTTTATCTCCTGTAGAGTTGAAAGATAGGGCCCAGACTGTAGATGTGTGTCCACTGAAAATAATAACCAAAAAACTGTAATTTAAAATGACTTCAGATACTCTTTAATTACTGAAAATACTCTTAACAAGCACATTTAATATGGTATAGATTTACAAGGATAAAAGGGTTTAGAAGGAAAGGGTTAAACTTCGTTTAAAATTTCAACCTTCCAAAAGCACAACAGAGGAAAAACTAAAACAATTCTTAAAACTAGAAAAGTTACATAATATAAAGACATCAAAAACAAATGTTACATAGTATAAAGAACAAATAAAACCATAGAGCAAAAAAACTGTTACTTTTTCTTGTTTTCTTGGGGATGTAAATTTGGATTATTAAAGTATATAAGTTAAATTAGAGTGAAATATTCAAAAGAATACCTCATGAAAACTCTTAACTAGAGATATTCACGTCCAAAATGGTTTACTAGGAATCTGTTCATGCAACCCACAGCCAGACACTAAATTCCATTACTACAGTGCAAATTAACATATTTTATAATCAATGACACTTATGGAAAATTGCAACATCACACCAAGAGCATGCTTAATTGAATGAGTCAGTAATTCAACCATTTCTTAGGCAAAGGGGTCCAAAAGTTGAGGTGCTCCATGAAGGGGTAAATAAATATAGGGGAACTTTGGTATTAAGTGGGTTGCTTTAAGAAGATGGAACCAAGGTTTAAAATGTCAGTTTTGATAGAAATGTCTACCACTTAAAAATAAGAGATGGATATTATTTTCAACAATCAATTGTATCACTCAAAGATAAGAAATGTCATAAATTCAAAAAAAAATGTCTAGTTTACTGTAAAAAGTTTATAACACCATAAATATCAATCTATGAAAGTATTTCAATAATTTTTAAAATTATAAAAAGACGTTCTTTTGAATAATTATATCATTACAAAGTGATAAAAATGAGCCATTTTTTAAATGATTACATCATTTTAAGATGATATATTCTTCCATTTAGAATAAACTGTCTAAAAAAATACACATTTTAATTAAATATTATTTATAAATTAATATAAAAGTTGTGGTTTGCATATTAATATCCTTCTTATGCTATTATATTATTTATCCTCATAAGAGTTTCAATTATTAAAACAACAACTATATTTTATTAAATTGTTTATAATTAGATATATTTCATATAAAGCTAGGTATGAATTAAAAAGTTGTTTATAATGAATATATTGAAAAATAATAGGTCTAAAGACAAGTAAATAATATTGTTGAAAACCTAGAATTGATATAATTAACAAAAAATTGTTGAAATAATACATTTTAAAGCACTAAAGATTATGTCAAGATGCACTGCATAATATTCCTTGTCAGCACCCATGAAAATGGAAATATTTTGTAGAAATATTAGGAAATATTCATTGTTCAAAAAAATATTAGGAAATATCTAGACATTTCAAATCACTGATGGAACCAAAAAATTATTGGTTGAGAAGTTACCACAGGAAGAAAAGGCAGTTGTGACAGATGCTAATTAAAATATTGCAAAGTGGGGTAGGATCATGGGGCGTTAAAGGCAGTTGAGACAAGTGCTAATTAATTTTAAGTGTCTTTATGGATTATATATGGATCTACCTTAATCTTATGTAATTAGAAGTTGTTTTAGTCAATTTCCAAGCCGGAATTAGATCTTTAAAGGGAGATCTGAGTGCTAATGTTGAATCTAAAAATATAGTTCATGTAGTTATATTTTTTAATCTAAGAATTCGCGCTTTGAGCTTTCTATTTTCTTTCTAAAGGTATGACTTTTCTTCTGTTTCCTCAATCCCTTTTTTTTTTTGAGAAAATTTAACCAGAAAATCCCTATTTATTTTTTTTCTATATGTTAGATTTAAAATTCTTCTAATTCCCCTTTCTTTCTACTATATCATATTTAAATGATTTCTTTACTCAGCACATATACATTAGTAGGATTTCTCTCTTTAATGTCCTACATCAGAGTCTTTCGATACAAGGTTCCAACTAGGAAACCTATGTTATTACCTTGGCATTGGAATGGTCGTTGTGATGTATTTACCCCTTCAAAGAAAAATAAGCGATTTCAAACTTAATTAGCCTAGGTCCTCAATACAGTTACCAATAATTATGGTTTTGATTCAGTCGTTCTGAATGGTACCACCAATAAACAAAAGCCAGTCAGGAAAGAATACTAGCAGCCACAAGAAAACCCCCTTTTTATAGAAAAAGAAGGAAAAGGGAAAAGGGAAGTCAAGGTAATGATACTTGTTAGGCTCCCCTAAAGTTTGAACACAGTGCCAATCATCAGTGTCACCATCCTCAGCCCAAACCTGCCATTTTACAAAGATTATCACATTCAACATGACCCAATCTGTATACGGCTTTCTATATTAAACTGCTAATATCTTAAAAAAAAAGTTTATACATGTCAATTCAGCCAGAAAGGAAAAAATGCAAACATTCCCAAGATCTTTTACCTTAACAGTATTGTCATAGCTACAAGAAAACAAGACATCCATAAACGGATGCCATTTAACCATCTTCACATCCTGTGTATGGCCTTGCAACACTGCAACACACTCAAACTCATTCCCGGGCTGTACTTCCCATATCCAAACAGATTTGTCTCGACTGCATGTGGCAAGTAGAGATCCTGATGCATTCCATGAAACACTTTTGACTTCGTTCTCGTGACCCTATACAGGAAAAGGTACCACAATTTCCATGTAGAAAAGAAAAATGATCGAAACAAGGCTAGAAACGAAAACTTAAGCCACTAGAACCTTAATTGAGTCTAGTAAGTAACACAAGAAAAGCCTCCTTACAACATTTGCTGAAAATGTAATTACCTTGATTCAAGCAATAGAAAACAATGGTTCTTCTATGGGCGAAACAACATTAAACAGTAAAAGTAGTGGACCATAGATGTTGTAGGCATGACTAGATGAGCATAAACAACAGCTTTAAACGAGAACTTTACCTCTAAAGTAGAAACGCACTCGAAATCATCGCCAATATGCTCCCAGATAGCAGTAGTAGCGTCAAAGCTGGCCGTTGCCAATAATTTGCCAGAAGGTGACCAAGCACAAGACCTAACTGTCCGATTATGTGTTTCTTCCAAAACTGCCTGCGTATGGCATTATTCACATCAAGACGAAATCTGACAAAGAACTGACCTACTTGATAACTTGTAGTAGAGAATTAGGTTTACGGTAAGAGCTGGAGGTCAGAAAACAATCAAGTCGGGGAAAAAATCCGACCTTGCATTCAAAAGAAGCAGAACACCGAGCGGAGGGAGTCTGCTGCCATATTCTGACAGTCTTGTCGCCGCTGCAAGATGCAAACATCGCCGGAATCCCTGCAGCTCCAGTGGCGGGATTCCACGCCACGCTCCAAACCCTATCAGTGTGGCCTTCAAGCTTCTGAATCTCCTTCAATTCTAGGTTTCCCTCGAGTAAATCCATCAGAAAGATCTGTATAAGTATGGATTGTCTATTGATCGATTCCCTTTTCAGAATACAAATGAACCGAACAGAGGAAAAAAGAAACAGTCTGTTCCTCGCTTCAGAGTTCAGTCTCGATTCTGTTGGCCTGAGAAACAAGAAAAGCGGAGCGAGAGGATACGCACGAATCGTAAGGAGTGTGGAAAGCTCGTGGTCGTGCTGCGTATCTCATTGAGTTTCGACTACTGACTTCTTCGAGACGTGAGTCGGGACGGCCCTTGTGTCCGAATCCTCTGTAGAGGAACATAAGAACAGCATGATATTGATCCAATCATAATATTCCACGTCATCGATAGATAGGCCATACGCAGCAGCGCCGTGTATTACGTTACGGGCAGATGTGTATAAAATCGAAATTGGATTTGGGCAGTTTGGACTTTGTTGGCCCAATTGGCTTGGCATGCCCAAATGCCCAATCCAATCCATTAATAATTTATTTTAGGGTTTAGCTGGGGTTTCCAGAAGCTTGGTATGGTATTGCCTTGGATCTCAATCAAAGATGGTAGTGTTTCAGCTGCTATTTAGAACACTAGTACTGGTATTATTATTGATGGTGGTGAATGGTGATGATAGGCTGACATCGTATGAGAATGATTTAGCAGAATCCAAAATTAAATACCTAATTGAAAATCAAGCTGCGTTTGGAAACGATGCAAATGTACTCTAAATCCCAGTTTAGGGTAAATTTGTACTCTATTTTACTTTTGCCTGTCTTTGACAATATTATATTCATCCATTGACAAATGATAGAAAATATATTTTTGAATTCATATTTATATTCATAATAAAATGTAAAAGTATATCAATAAAAAAGAAGTAAATTTGCATTCAAGTGGGCTTTTGATAAAAAAAAAAGGCATATGGTTTGCATCCATTACAGCTAAAAGTCTGTTTTAGTGCAAAACTAACCCAACTTTGCAATTTAGGCCGCATTTGGAAATGATGCAAATATGTAGAGTGTAAAACGGTTCATATAAGGTTGTGTTTGGAAACGATACAAATAAGTGTGAATGCAAATATGTAGAGTGTAAACCGGTTCATATAAATTGCAAAATTGGGTTAGTTTTGCACTGACCAATTTACCTTCTTACCAAATAGACTTTTTGTTGTAATGGATGCAAACATGAATTCCAATAAAGAATATGCTTTTTTTTTTATCAAAAGCTTACTTGAATACAAATTTACTTATTTTTTTATTGATGTACTTTTACATCTTATTATCAATGTAAATATGCATTGGTCTGTCATTTGTCAATGCATGAATGTAATTGATGCGGCACGACCCGAGCACTCCTAGCTAGCTGCTGACTGGCTCCTGCGATGGCAACGAACGGCACCTGAGAAGAAAAAAATGAAGGATTCCCGGGGGATTTGCCAAGCGGGAATACTCCGAAGCTTAAGTTAGAATGCTGAGGAGGAAGAAAAGAGTGTAAAAGGCTAAGAGTATAGGTCACGCTAGATCACTATGTCTTGAGATTAACTCGTGAGCAAATAAGAGTTCAAGTTCAGATCTAATTCGAGAGAGAGTTCTCCCCTTCGATAAAAGGGCTTCTATAGGGACGTTTTTGTCAAATCGGGTGTAACCGCCACTGGGCTCCTGCCGCAGTAGTTACCTGCCAGGGTTGCGCAAATGATCATTACAATGTACCCACTTGGATGAGTGACACGTTTTAAAGGGACAGGCACGCCACCATCTGTCGAAAGACGTGTGTGCAGACTGTCAAATGGGCAGGGACTGCGTCGTCAATCGAGAAACGTGGAGCAGTCTGATGAGTACGGTCTTGTCAAATAGAAGCTTCCTGAGAGCGTCGCGCTGCTTAGTTGCAAGTTACTTTGTAGCGAGCTACCCTGTTGCACGACGAGCTACTTTGTAGCAAGCTCTTAGGGGTATTTCGAGGTGGCCCACACCAAGGTTGGTCTTTGGGACAGTTCTTGCTGGAGCGAATTGGTTTCCCTAGCTCGCGATTTGAAATAGTCTTGGAGTATTCCCTTCTTCTCGGTAGCTCGGGGGATCGGCAACTCGCGTTGTAGCGAGCTCCCCCTATAGCGAGTTATGACGTAGTGAGCTACTCTACAGGCTCGTTACTTAGCTGGGGTCAGGCCGTGACACTAAGTTGTTGCTCATACTAAGTCAGATCCATGTGTCATCGTCTTAGTAGGTCGGGTCAAATCATCCTCCATCAAATGCCCCCCACTCCTTGGGCTAAGAGTGCTGCCTTAGCGCGAGGAGTTCATGAAGTGTGACGGGTTGATTTGACCAAAATTCAAACTTGATTGACTGCTCATATTAAATGCACGCACGGGAATCATGGGATTCCTGACTTTTTGAATACCGAAAACATGTTGAAGCGGCTCTTAACTCCAGATGCCGTGCAACCGTCATTACCTCAATCATGGGAGACGTGCAGCCAGTCACATTTCGGTTTCAGAGTGCATGCGGTCAGCTTGACTACGAACCGTCAGATCTGCCTTAATCTGGGTCGTTGATTTGGGGGCATAGGGGCTATAAATAGGATGGCCCCCTAGGCCTCATTTCCTTTCATGCCATCTTGTTGTCTTCAGATTCTAAGGTCGCGCATCTTTCTAGCCTACCTGAGCTCTTCCGTTCGCTTCGTTTCGTCTTTCCCGGTGAGTCTTAATCACTGTCAATCATGTCTGGGTATCCGTACCATGCTTATTACTGAGACATTAACCAGGACGACGACGCTCCATCGAGCTCTGGGGGAGCTTGAGAGCAAGTTCTGGAGGCTTGGGAGACCTCCGGTGATGTGGCCTCTACTTCTCGGGGGAGGGAGCCTAACACCTTCAGTCCTTCTTCTATGACGGCGGAGAGACTCAAGTCTCTAATCCGCTATTTTCACCTTCCTGGGACCTTGTCTACAGTCTCCTCATTGGTAACTTTCCTTGTGAGCATGGTCTCGATGAGATAGTTATTTACCAGGAACAACTCGAGACTGGCCTGCGTCTTCCCCTGCACCCCCTTATAGTGGAGGTGCTAAACCACTTTAATGTTACCATCGGTCAGCTTCATCCCAACGCTATCCGGAACATGGTCGGGACCATTTCTTTGTGTTATGAGTATTGCCTCCCCTTGAACCTTGACATTTTTGCTTCTATTCTTTGTATTAAAAATGCTGCTCCTGGAATTCCTCTAAAAAGGCGTTTTTACTACCTCTCTCCCCATCGCGGCTACAAGCTCTTGTACGAGCTACCAAATAAGATTCCCGCGTGGAAGTGGAATTATTTTGTGGTCCGTAACCCCGAGGGGTGGCCCTTCCCAACTTCTTGGAGGGGCGCCATCCAGGACCCCGGGGCCGAGCTGGACCCTGAAACTCGAAAAACGATGCTATCCTGGGCATCGGTAGGCTTCCTCTGTTCGGACTACTTAACCGAGGAGAAGCTCGCGTAGCCCGGTTTGAGCCTGGGTAGGTTGCCTTTTTAGGTCACGTAGTGCCTTGTAACAATATTGTGTATACATACATTTTGTTTCTTATCGAACAAATATCTTGTGGATTTTTTGGCAGCCATCATGTCTGATGTTGACGCGCGTCGCCTCCTCTCAAGCAACCAGAAGCACAAAGTGAAGAGGTCACGTCCTGACTGGACTCCCACCTCTGGGGGTATTGAGTTGGGTCTGCGGAGCCAGACTTCACTTCCTCGCCGCCTGAAGTTCCGCTGCCTCCATCTGAAGGAGGTGTGGGGGGAGTTAGCCTCGAGGAGGGGGAACTCCCGCAGCAAGGGGTGATTCCTCCTGGTCCTTCTCAATTGTTTCCCTACCCACAGCTTCCAGTGGGGAACTAGGAGGGTATTAATGACTATGTAGTGGCCAGGCGGAGGAGCTGAAGGGCGATCTACCACGAGGAGATCGCCAAGTGGGGGGAAATGGAGCTCGGGGATCTCACCGTGCTCGCCTCTGCCCACTGTATGGTGGTAAATGGTCCTTCCCCTCTCCTTGTTTCTGCTTCCTTTTGCTGCCTTTTGACCTTAGTTTCCTGTTGGCATGTGAACTTTGCCATCCACGCCATTGCCCTCCAGATGAACATCCACTCCGGCAACGCTCACAACCAGAGGGTCATGGTTCAGAAGCTCCAGGGCAAGCTCAATCGGACCAGGGGCAAGCTCCATCACACTCGAAAGGGGAGCGAGTCTCAGGAGCAGCTCGTCCAGGACCAAGAGGCACAGATCGCTAGGCTTTCTGAGAAGAGCGCGCGCTACAGGGAGGAGTCGTCGAGGGTGGCTGCGGAGAGGGAGCACCTTCGTCAACAGGTTTGGGACTTGGAGTCCACTCTTCTGGACCAAAACTCGAAACTTTGACAACATGGTGGAGGCCGAGCGAGAGAGGGCAGTATGGGACTTCAAGGACTCGCAGGAGTATCACAACCTCCAAGTGGAGTATGGCACGAGCTCGTACTACTCTGGATTAAAGCTCTGTCGCTGGTTGGTCCGAAAGAAATTTTCTGGGCTCAATCTTGACGGCATCACCATGAAGGGCCTGTCTCCCGAGACGGCGGACTAGGCGGAGGAGTAAGAGCCTGACTCCCCGAAGGACGAGGACGAGGTGGACCCCTGAGGCTGGTGATGATGGCTTTCTGCTTTGATTTCTGGTGGCTCCCGAGTGCCATAAACCCGATCTTGAAAAGATCTTGTTGGGCGGTTGTGCCCTTTTTACGTCCTATTAAACTTCTTCGAGCTGTTTAGCTCGGTTTTTTTTTTTTTGTAATAGTAATGAAATTTATTTTTCTTCAAAGTATGGTGTGCTCCCTGTATTTTTTGCTAAAGCGATCTCATCCCCCAGCTATTAGAAAAACATGCCTCAAGTAGGACTTTTCGGTAGTCGTTATCCCGAGTTGTCCCGAACTATGCGCTTGTTGGTGATTCCTTAGTTCAACTAACGTACTGAGACAAGCTATGCTTCGTAGGGTTTAAACCCGAGCTGCTTGCGCCTTTGATATTTCATACTCTGCTTTCACCACTAAAGTGGCTAATTCTTTCTTGATACCAAGATTTTAGTTAGCTCGGTTTTTTAGCCCTTAAGCTGAGAGGGTGATTCATAGTCTGCCCTTGAAGTTTGCCCATGCCATGGAGGCGATTAGGTCTTATTGCGCCGAGTTCGTGTTAGCTCAGCATTTTGACCCTTAGTCTTTTGGGAGTGACTCATGGTCTACTCAGTAGTTTGCCCATGTCGTAGGGGCGACTGAGTCTTGTTGCGCCGAGGTCGTGTTAGCTCCGCATTCT